CTTTTGTTGTCGTCGTTGTTGTTGACTCCTGGCAACTGCCTGGACAAGTCCCTGCAGTTTTCTTGGCAAGCTTTTTCAAAAGTGGTTTGCCTTAGGGCTGAGAGAGTGAGAGAGTGACTGGCCCAAGGTCACCCAGCTGGCTTTGTGCCTAAGGTGGTACTAGAACTCAGAGTCTCCCAGTTTCTAGCCTGGTGCTTTAACCACTAGGCCAAACTGGCTGTCTGTAGCTAATCCAAAAGATTTGGCAAGAAGAAGGGGGCTGCTTCTTTTAGCCAGTCTGGGCGATGTCATTTAACCAGAAAAAAAATTAAGGGGGTAAAGGAAAATTAGAGAAGTACTCCCCTTAAGGGTATTTCTCTTAACCTTCTCAGAACTAGGGCCTGTCTGCTTGTAAATTACTGATTCCCTGTGGGGGGAAACACCAATTTTGAGCAAAGGGCCTGGGAAACAGGGAGAAATCTCAGCAATCATGAGTAGAACTGCTGGTTTCCACTAACCATTAGATGCAGAAAACCAGCTCTCTGTTCCCACAGAGCTGATAAGAAAAATAGCTGAGATTCTCCACTACACTATTAGGTCATATTTTTTGAGGCTAAGCATTAATCTGTGCCCCCTTCTACAGTTTTTCATAATCCTGCTAAAAATTAGGTATAGAAATGAAAACAGGCATAATTATTATGAAAATTATAATGCCTTTTTAAATGAAATCTTGAATGTATGTAAGAATGGGCCCCCAGGTGCTGATATGCAATATCGAGATTGTTGGATTTGCTTAGCAAGATGTCTATAAGCCCAGCTGTTATGGTTTATAAGCTATGGCTTATGGATTAGTGTTATGTACAAACTAGACTACTATGGTGTGTTCTCTAAACTATATTTAAAAGAAACCACAGTTTGGGGTGGGGGAGATGGGAGGAGAACAGAAAAGATGTGTGTTTTGGAGCTCTGCAGCCACAAGCAGACTAAAGCAGCCAAACAGAAGTTGTTTTTTTCCCCTTCAGAAGCAGTGAAAGGTCCAAAAGAGAGGAGAGGAAGTATGGAGGCTCAGCCAGACAAAGCACAATGTAAAAAAGGTGCAAGAGCTCTACATGCTGGCCATTAACAGCAAAAGAAGAAGAAATCTCAGAGAGAGGGGACTTAAGACAGAACAGGCTTAAGAAAGAAATATTGATACATACTACAGGTAGTCCTCGCTATCTGTCCATTCGTTCAGGACCGAAGTTACAATGGCACTGAATGAAAGGACTTAACAACCTGGCCCAAAATTATGGCAATCTGGACCTTTGGCAATGGTTTGCCCTTATGACTGTTGGCAAGTGTCTCACAAGCATGTGATCACCATTTGCAATCGTCCATCCGCCTGCTGGGACAGTAGCCAGCAGGGAAGATCGCAGGCTGCCGCCGCCTGCCGAGCGGACTCCCCCTTGTCTCTGAGGGCTGCCTGAAAAAGCTCCGTGCTGAAATCCAAGCAGGCAGCAGGTAACAGGCAGCCTATAACAGCTTCACAGGGCTTTGGGGTTGCCTGAAAAAGCTTTGTGCTGAAAATCCAAGCAGGATTTTCAGCCACGGAGGATAGGGGAGGGGTTGGGTGGGGGAGGGAGCGAGGGGGTGCATGGGTGTGTGTGGGAGGGTTGGGTCAGGTGCGTGGGGTGTGGTGTGGGTTGGGTGAGTGAGGGCCTCCGATGCGCATCTGACCTGCACTGCACCTGTGTGTACTTGACCTGATCCTCCCATGACTCCCATGCACTGCTTTGCTCCCTCTCCCACCTGACAGCGCCTGGGGCTTGCAACTTCCTGCTGGCTTCCCCACTGACTTGATTGTGGGAAGCTGGCAGGAAGTTGCCGCAGCTAATGACTGGGGCATTCACTTAACAACAGCAACTGGGACTGCCAGGATTGCGGTCACATGATGTTTCACCTTAACGACTGCATTGCTTAAGCGACCGAAGTTCTGGTCCCAATTGTGGTTGGATAGCAAGGACTACCTGTAGTAATAGTATACAGCATAGTATATAGGTAATTGTAATAGAGTAATAGGTAATAGAATAATAGGTAATAGTAATAGTAATTGAATAGTAATAGTATAGAATAAAGTATATTGAATAGTAATAGTATAGAGTATAGTATAAACATTGTCATAATAATAGTAATTGAAGAGTAATAGGTTGTAATAGTAATTATCATAGTAATAGTATAGAGATAACAATAGGAAGCACTCGCATATCACTTTTATGTGTTTTTACAAAATAAAACATCTCCCCAATCCTTATAGAGAGGTATAAAGAACCCACCTGTCCAGGTTCCTGTGCATTTGTGTCTCTTTTGAATCTGGGTCAATCCAATTGAGTACGGTTTTAAAAAAAGAACCAGGGATAAGTGAAAGAAGGCTGTGTGGCAGTGATTGTATATTTTCAATTAAATTACATGGAAAAGTTTATTGGGTATAGCCTGTTTTATATACAAAGTGTAATAGTCAACATCTAATGAATACAAATAAGAAAATCCCCTTTAATAGGATTAAAGACCATGAAGTGCCAAAAGAGCATGTATGACTGGGATTTGCATACAATATCTTTAGCTTAATGTTGATCTCCCAAGGCATTAACAAGCAGTAATTGTAGCAGGAGTGGCTTATTTACAGCTTTTTCTAAGTAATAGATAATTACAGAAAACAGTAGCACTTTAACAAATAGAGGCTGAATTGCAAATTAGAAATGAAATTGTGGTGAACACAAATTATGCCAGACACCAGAAGTGTATATTTCTTTTTGCCCAGCTTTAAGGAACTTATCCAGAATAATTTAGGTTAGATAGCTGATTTATATTAAATGACCAGTCCAGTCATAACTATGGTTATTAGAGATTAGTCCAAGAGATGTCAACCCCTTTATTTTAAAATGTGATTTTCAGATGAAGGAACCTGATAACAGGGAATTGAGGTCTGAAATTGATTTCCTTATTTACTGGGCTTATATACTCTTGATTCTGAATGATTCAAAGCAGTTTACACTGTGATAATTATAACATCACTGTTGTAAAGCTAGAAGTAGAATCACAATCAAAACATA